GATTTGTTCATTCTTCTGGCAGTCCATGGTATATCCAATATTCTTTGCCAACACATACTTCAAATGCATCAATTCTTTGATTTTTCTTATTCAGTTTTCACATGCATATGAGGCAATTGAAAAAGCTATATATATGGGTCAGGCACACCTTAGTCCTCAAAGTGACATCTTTGCTTTTTTAACAATTTAAAGAGCAATACAACACCTGACTTCTACACTGCTGCTTCCATGGATGTTGATTGTGGATCCAAGTAAAATGAAATCTTTGACAATTTCAAACTTTTCTCCATTTATCATGATGTTGCTTATTGGTCTAGTTGTGAGGATTTTTGTTTTCTTTATAGTGAGGTGTAGTCCATACTGAAGGCTGTAGTCTTTGATCTTCACCCAGTCAGTGTTTCCTCTTTGCTTTCAGCAAACAAACTTGTGTCATTTGTATACTTTAGGTTGTTAATGAGTCTTTCTCCAATCCTGATGCTTCATTCTTCTTCATACAGTCCACTACATGACACTGCATGAGGTAAATTAAGTTTCCTTTTGTATAAGTAATATTAGAATCCAGATATGATATAGCTTCATTTTTCAAATAAGTTGGAGAATAAAACTGCAACTTGCAACAGATATCTTGATTTTAAAATCTAATGTAAAACTAATGCCAAGGCAGATGTATTACACTTGGTCCAGCCGGTGAGATCCTGCACCATCTTATTTGGGACACGGGAAAACATTCTGCATATGACTTTCTTAATAGATAGCAGTCCTTACTTATTTGGAGTCCCTGCATGGTGCAGCTAACATGCTCGGCTGCTAACTAAAAAAGTTGGAAGTTTAAGTCCATCCAGTGGTGCCTCAGAAGAAGTGCCTGGAAATCTACTTCTGAAAAGTCCAGTCAATGAAAACACACAAAGTTCAACGTGAGTCACAATCAACTTGAGAGCAACTGGTTAACTGATTTCTCATTTTACTGTAACCTTGATTTTCTGTAACTTCTCAGTAGTCCTATGCATGCTGCCTCCATCAGTTGCAGAAAGAAATCTGGGCCTCAAATGACTAAATTCCTTAGAAAATACAATTCCTAACCTTTTGAAGGATTTGCCTCAGTTTTTAATATTACTTGGGAAGAAGCAACTTAATGAGAAGCAAAAAGGCTAGAGCAGTTCCTTAGAAGCTGAAAAGTGACAATTGCTTCTTAAGCTCAAGGAGACAAAGGCTGAGCTAGCACGGAATTCAGTGTCCTTTGGAGGACCAAGCCTGCAAAGTCTATCTCTGTGCTCACAGCTCTATATGCTTCTGAATTCCAGTGTAATGGCTACATTAGATTTATTAAATGAATCTCGATTAAGTGAATCTGGATTTAACTCCATTAAATGAGATTGCTCATTTGGTATTCTAGAGGCTGTGCAGCCCTGGATGTGGTCACGTAGCAAGTCAGAAACTGCAGCCTTGTTCTGTGAATGTGGACCATTAGTTAGGTATTATTACTGTTTTTTGTTTTTGTTTTTGTTTTTTGAGTTCTGACAGTGCATTTAACTAAAGGAGACGTGTGCTTCTCCAGTGTTTCACACCTTTGCTTGGATACAACTTAGTCTTAAATTTAGCCACCCCCCCTCCGGTAGCATAGTGCCTAAGGCACTTGACTGCTCACCAGAAGGCTGGTGGTTCAAACCCACCAGCCACTCCTCGGAAGGAAGGTTGGGCAATCCTATTCCCGTAGTGATACTGTCTCGGAAACCCAAGGAGGGGTCGCTATGAGTCGGAGCCGACTTGAAGGCAAACAACAACAACATATTGTGTCAACTTGATTACATGTTAGCCAATGTAGAATTTGGAAGCCAAGATAGTGTTACTCTGAATCACTATGAAAATGGAGTCATAATAAAACTGGAGTCAAATTACATACTCAGGTTTTTTTACCTTCCAAGTGAGGAGCATTCTTGGGTCATCATAGTGACTTGAAGAATTTAAATTAATACATGTGATTCTCTTCCCAGTAAGAAAATAACACTGCATTTTCTCATGAATCTACAAATCACTGGAAGACATTTAATCAAATTGCTTTTGTTTCTTCATGATGTATGTGTAGCATTTGGAAAGATGTTTGGCATCATGAAAGCTTAGATGTCTCAAAAAGAACAGAAAAGTCTGTGTGGGGTAGTGAAGTTCTCTGTGTCTCCACTCACCACCTTTCCCCAGCAATCTTCCCTCAGGCTCTTCAGCATTTCCCTTTGAGGACAGTGTCCTGAAATGCTTAATTGAATATTCTTTGCTGGATTCTGTATTACAAAGCCATATACCTTGTGTCTCTTACAAGGTGCACCATTTGAAAATAAGATACTTTAATATTTGTGGGCTGGTATAATATCATCTTTGTTTTCAGGATATATTTAAAAAGTGTGGCAGAGTACACTTTTTTTTACCACTCAAATCATTCTGGGTGAGATCTGATTGAGGCTATACTGTGTCTACCCCTTATAGGAACCCACCATGCTGTTGAACATTATTCTGGTGGCTGCTATAGGGCTGAAATGTTGCTCTAGACTGTCTATGAAGGATATCACTCTGGAAGTCACAGGGTATACGATGTGTGCTATTACTCTCCTATACATTCCTAGACTTTTTGTGTCTGAATGAACTACCGTCTTCTTTCTATATTGTGTAGAGTTGAGACTCCAGGAATTGTCTTTTTGAGTCCAGGTCCAACTTGGATTTTATGGAGTTTGAAGCTTAGAGCACCCCAACTTTTATGGTTACTCAAAGAACAAACTTTCTGACCCTGACGATGCACCTAGAAATGATGAAGTCTAGTTATAGCAGGCCAGTGGAATCTGGAACAGCTATTACTTATTTATCCACTACTTTCACCAAATCTTGTCTTTGTAAGTAGAACTATAACTCAACACCTGAGTACATTTTATGGAATATTTTAAGATTATTATGAATATTCTGGGGCCATTCAGAGATAGCATCTTATTCCCGAGTTAAAATTACTGGACTCTCCAACCTGAATGACTCTTAAAGATAAGTGTTTCTTCAAATGATACGACTACATGAACTTCATGTCATCTTTAAGACATATATACATACACACACATTGTATACATGCTAATACTTACACATGTGTATATAATGTAAAGCTAAAAATTTCAAATAGCTACATCTAGGTGAGTAGTTGTGAATTGTTGTTGTTATGTGCCGTCAAGTCAGACCCGACTCAGAGCGACCCCTCCTTGGGTTTCCAAGACAGTATCACTACAGAAGTAGATTGCCTAACCTTCCTTCTGAGGAGTGGCTGGTGGGTTTGAACCTCCAGCCTTCTGGTTAGCACAAGTGCCTAGGCACTACACTACCACAGCTCTTAGTTGTGAATTAAGTGGGTACAAATCTATTACTCCTGTGGTAAATCACTGAGGTATTCTTAAGCAGTGAATAGTTTTTCACATAATTTTATTATGTCTTTTAAAGATAGCATTAGTATTAATTAAATAGATCCACAGGTAGAAAGTATTTTGTGGGAGAATTTTTGACATTTTTGTTTATTAAACTTGGCAGACATTAAGTTAGTATTTTCATTTTGAATAAACCACCTCAGTATGCACCAAAACTTAAAATACAATCTAATATAAAACACTTTGGTATGCCTGATTCTTATAACTTAACATTACCCCAAATATGACAACATTGCATAAAGTTAATTCTTAAATACAAGTTTGACTGTGTACCTTGACTGTGCTCTGTACTTGCTTTCAGTTCCTTTAGGCTTGCATTGCTGCCTGCCTCCGCCATCACCTGCACCAGTTTAGTAATAACACTTGGTGTCTGTGTAGCACCATTTGTAATAGTTCAAAGTAATGGACAGATACAGACTCACTTACACCCCCCATGTCTCTGTGAGAAAGAAGCAGAACTCTGATGGTCTGCATTCTGTGGAAGGTGAAGAAACTAAGTCAAGCTTCAATTGCCCACCAAATCCAGGTCTATTAGATGGTTCCCACTTCACTGCCTTTGAACAGCCAGGTATTAAACATGGAACCTCACTTCTGTATGTTTATTTTTTGGGGTAGCAGAGATACCAGAACTTAAGCTCCTTCTGCTGACTCCTAACCACATATAACGTGAGCCAGGCTGAGGGTCGCCCAAACAGGAAGCTGTGTAATGAGTGTGTCGTTACTCACATGGCATTGTCTGACTGGTGACAGGGTTGCTTGTCATCTTTTCTCTACTGACTTTGTCTACTGAGAGTATGGAAGAAACACACGTTCTGTAACATCCAGAAATCAATATATAACAAAAGCCACAAACCCCTCCATTCTTAGCAAGTTAAAATAACTAATGTAAAAATAGTTTAAATTACTTTGAAACTTTAATTACAGATATTTTTTTTCCATTCAATATTTCTGAAATAAAAGTTCTGATCCTTTCCTTTTTTGCATAAAAGCTGTAAAGGCTAAACATTGTGTCTTTTCATATTTACATATCCACACCCAAGTCTCTTCTTTATTAAAAGGTGTTTTGATCACAGTCCCAAACTAATTCTGCACTGGATCCTAGATTGTAAAACTCAAGAGAACAAAACAGTTTCAAAGGAAGACAGGAAGCAACCCTAGTAAAAAGGCAGTAAAAGTTATAGTTTGATCGTGTTTCTTCTAAGTTCAACTCAGAAATATAATGATGATTAAGAGGAAAAAATAAAAGGACCTAGCTCTCACCCCTGCACCCCTACCAACCACACTAGCCAGAAACTCTCTGCAGTTTTAAAGTGCAATTACTATTGTGGAGTCACTCAGGCCATAGATCAGACTGGATAGAGTTCAAAGCAGAAACTTCAAACAAGCATTGCTCATGACTCCAGGGCTGGGAAGGAGGCAGGGAAGGAAGAAAAAGAACGGCAGTTCTCAGGCATTTAAGTGCATTGAGAGAATACATGTCCTTTGTTTTGGTAAAAAGAAATGCGTAAATTGTGAGGAATCCTGGTTTGGAAAAATACAACTTTCTAGAAAGTTCTATCTGAGGGCGTTCCAATGTGGCATAGTCCAAAGGCAGGCGATCACAGTAAGGAAGGTGGGGAAGTTATTGCTCTGTGGGGCCCCACTCCCATATTGGTGGCCTCTGTGCTCTTCAGTCAAGTCCTCAGCTCTGGGTGCAGAGGAAGCACACTGAACCAAGGGCATCTGGTAAGATGTGGCTCTCTTCTCTGGCCTGTCAGGGCTAGATCCGTCACTGGGCCTCTGGCCATTGAATAAGAGGTACCTTCCCCGAGCATCCTGCTCCATCTTGAAGATCTCATACTCTGTGTGAGGCAGCTTGATGCCCAGGGCCACGCAACCATTGGTATGTGTCACATCCTGCTGGACGCCCACTTGCCAGGAACCCTCAGCCCCACACTCATTCCCGCTGAAGACATTAAGAAGTGAGGCCGTGGCTGCATCCATGGGGGTGACCTTCATGTGGTTCACTGGAGGGAGAAAGGAGAGCATCACTGATTCCTGAATGCATGATGACAAAACAGCCTGCTGAGCAGATGCTGGTAACACCAAACCTAGATAAGACTTCTTCTTTAACACCACCATGCACACTAAGCCACCTGAATGTAATGCTCTTAAGAGCATACTGATGTGGAAAGAATCCACTGTGTTTGTCTGAATGGCAGTCACACCAAATACAGCAGTAGTGACCAGAAAAAAATCCATCTGTGTATAAACGCTGAGCCCAGACTACAGTCGATAGACCATGTCTGTTCACATGAAATAAAATCAGAGCCAAGTATTCCCAAGTAGTTGTATTTGGCAGCTCCAACTTTTTGGGATTGATAGAACAGTCAATGAAAGCTGGAATTTTATTTTTATGAAAGAAGATTTTGCAGTCTTTAAAAGTTTTGCTGTCAAACGCCTATACTAGTTAGCATTCTTGCAAATTAATACAGTCCCATAAATCTGGTATCTAAAATAAATTAGGCTGTAAGCAAGAAAAGTATAAATAAACATACTAAATAGAAATTCCAGCAACCTGTAGAGTATTGCTTCTGAAGATCTTTCCAAGTTACTAAACTTAATGATTAACACAAGACACATACAGAATATATCTTATTAGTGTGGGATCAGGTAAAGACTTTTCTGGTCCTCTTGGCTGAGACTATCAAAGATCCAGTCTTCCAAGAGGAAGCCTTCCTTTTTTACAGGTGGCTAAGATGCACTAGGACTTACCAACTTACGAGAAATATTTCATATTAAACTGACTGGGGCAGGGCTGAGATCATTTTATGAAGATGCCTGTTTTTTTTTATTATTATTATTCTAGAAAGAGACCACTAGACTCTCCTATGGAGTTGCTGGGTTAAGCACTTTACTACTAACCAAAAGGCTGAAGGTTTGAACCCATCCAGAGGTGCCTTAGAAGAAAGGCCTGACGATGTTTTTGCAAGGTTTGAAAACTCTACGGAGCAGTTTTATTCTACATACATGAGTCAAATTGACTTGATGGCAAATGGTCAAACCTCCATTGTTGATAACAGCCTGGCTCATCTCATTCTTACCTACAACACTTAGATGAAGAGTTCTTAGCATAAACCTTCCCAGTGCAGTAGCTACCACATGGACATGAAAACTTCTCAAGTGCTCACTATTCAAGAAAGCACTCTAAAATGCAAGCAAGTGTGGTGTTATCACAGGGATAACTGAATATTTCTTAAGTTGTGTGTAAGAAAGGAGGTATGTAGACTGCATTTTATTAGTAGTAATTTAACACATTACCAGCGCTCCTGGGCAGCTGGGACCTGTACTTGAGGTGGTTTACCCACCCTAGATCTGGGCTAGAGGTGTTCAGAGCATGTTTGTGAATAACCAACTTTGGGAGGAAAGAGGCTCTCCTCTCAGGCTTGGCCTCTACACAAATGTCACAAACTGCTCAGGATCGCTCATCCCTGAGGCTGTTATACATGGGATTTAAGATGGACTCACCTTTGAACACAAACTCGGTGCCTCCCATGACATGGGCAGAGTGCATGCCCCGGCTGTAGCGGCCCCTGGCGTAGATGGTGAAGGTCGGGTGCTTGCAGATAGGGTCAGAGTAGTGGTAGTAGTGGCCTTCCCAGGTGTTGTTGTTGTCATGAAAGATGAAGTGGCGGGTGAGGAAGAGAACCTCAGGGCGTACCTCGCAGCGCTGGCTTACCCACTCCCCATGCAGGCCAATGGTTAGGTCAGCCTTTGGAGGCAGGATTGGGGGATGATGTTCATCCGAGCGGTAGATGATGCGACAGGCGATACAGGCATGGTCATGATTCTGAAGCCAAGAAAGAAATACACTCAGAGACCTCTACCTTCACTGGACAGCAGTGTCACATGCTTCCTTATGAGTGGGGCTTGCCTTGGCTGACCATACGGAAGACCACTAATAATGGGAGGACCCAAGAAGCAATAAGAGAGAAGTTTGGGTGCATAGAGAGGAAAGTGTGTATGTGCGTGTATGCATGCATGTATGTATTCACAAGCACACGTGTGTTTTGCTAATGTTAGCATGTCTAGATATTTCAGGGAATCTCTGGGTGGTGTAAATGGTTAATGCACTCATCTGCTAACCAAAAGGATGGAAGTTTGAGTCTACTCTAAGGTACCTCTTAAGAAATGCCTGGTGATCTACTTCCAAAACTTAGCCATTGAAACTCTATGGAGTATACTTTTATTCTAACATATGGGGGGTTGCTATGAATGGGAATCATCTCGATGGCAACTGGTTACATGTTCCAGCTGTAAAATGGACTCTATTTGGAATCCTATCAAGCTCTCAGGATACACAATGAAGTTCCAAAACCCAGGACAGCACTTTGATTCCTGTGAGTGAGAGACATTTTCCAGTGAAGGCAGGAAGCCTGTTCAGAGGCAGGATCAGGAAGGCCTGAGAGAAGGCAGCCCATGGCCTCTGAAGAGGAGACATGCACTCTTCTACCCACTCATGTCTGTTAGCTGCTAGCTTGAAGGTTTATGGGCTCTTAATTTGCTTCCTGCTTTTATAGCTTTGAGCATTTAATTAGTGCAAGATAGCTACAGATCCATCTTTCAGGAGATCCACTCTGGCTAAGTCTATTTAATAGCACTCACATGGGCCCATGGACAAGCTGTCTAGGACTTTGGCTTAGAAAAAGCTTCATATTAGTTCATGCCATGCATATATGTACAAGCAAAGATGTCCAGTGATCTTAGTTTAGTATTGACCTGGAAGGCTTCAGACCCTTTGCTGTCTACTTGATTCTGATGCTCAACAAACTCATATGGGTCAGAGGAGAACTATACTTAGTAGGGTTTTCAATTGTTTTGTCTTTCTTCTGTGCCACTCCTGGATGGATCTGAACTGCCAACCTTTGGTTAGTAAAAAACAAAAACTCACTGCTGTCAAGTCGGATCCGACTCATAGCGACCCCTCCTTGTGTTTCCAAGGCGGTATCACTACGGAAGTAGATTGCCCAACCTTCTTTCTGAGGAGTGGCTGGTGGGTTTGAACTACCGGCCTTCGGGTTAGCAGTCAAATTCTTTAGGCACTACACCACCAGAACTCCTTTTTGGTTTGTAGCCAAATGTAAACTATTTGTACTTCCCAGGGACTGACCCAAAACTCTAGGCCTGGAAGCAGGACACCTGGGTTGCTGGATGCCATTATCTAGCTGTTTGACTAAAGTCACATAATAGCTCTGAGTCAGGAGTGGAGACAATCTTACTGCTATTCTCCCTATGGCACAGACTGTCATAAAGCCAACTAGGCTAACAAAATACTCGACCACACTAAAAATACAATGCAAATGTGATGAAAGTTAAGCAGGGAGGGGGCTATAATCCAGAGTTTGAAGGGCACAGCTCAGCTGCCATCAAGATGAGCAGTTGCCCTGGGCCCAACTGTCCATGCCGGAGAGCTCCTGTGGACATGACTATTAGGGCACTCACTTTTCTGGGCAGCAGGCACATGTTTTCTAGTATTTGTTTTCTAACTCACCAGGGACTTTTAGTTTTCAGTACTCACTTGATTTGATCTTGGTGTAGTTGCGGTTTGATTTTAGATCTTGGCTTCCTCAAGAGGGCAAAGGTAGGAGGAGTGGATTTCTAGCTGCCATCTTTTTATAGTCTCAGAATTTAGAAGCAGACAATAAGCTTACTTTGCTACTTTCATAAAATAAGCTTAGAGTTGCAATAGATGAAAGTGAATGTTTCCTATGTGCACATCATTTGTGGCTTGTAAATAATGAGATTGAATGGGATACAGCAGAATGACAGTGAAATCCCTTGCTGTAGGCCGGGTCTGGTTTGTATTCACAGCCTACTGTTTTCCTACATAAAGATCTCTGGTGGTGCTGTGGTAAGGCATTTGGCTGCTAACCAAAGGTTGATAGTTTGAATCCACCAGGTGCCCCAGGGAAGAAAGACTGCTTCCATAAAGATTTACAGCCTTGGAAACCCAATAGGGGCTGCCACTGAATCAACTCAATGGCAGTGAGTTTTGTAGGATTGCCTGTGTGGAGTTCAGGCAGCACAGGAGACCCTGTCTCACAGCCTGTGTTTGGGGTGTACTGCTATCTATAAGTTACAATGAGGGAAAAACACCAGTACCAAGTCCATTAGGGCTGTCCTTAATTGTAGCACAGAAATAGATGGCTCTGGCCAGGTCTTGGGCCAGGCCCACCCTTTCAATGGCAACTATTATCACAGATCTGGTCCTTAACAGTAGTCACTTTGGGCAAGTTACTGAATCTCTCAGGTTTGACTTCCTCATTTATAAACTGGGGCTTACTCAAGGCAGATTCAGGTGGTTTCTAACCCAGGGAGCCTAGAACCATTACAGGAAGGGAGTTTTTAGGGGTGACTGAACAGGGAGTGGGGATGTATATGTGCACAGCTCTGGGTATGAGGATGAAATGAATGGCATGCTTAACACATATCCACTACTATCTTTCCACTGCATGTTAAGGTAAATAAGATACAAGTTTAGTTAAGCATGTCACAGGATTTAGCAGTTTTTCCATTATTCATCTTAGTCTGAGATTTTCAAAATATTTACCATGCAAAGGGGTTGATATTGAAAATAGAGCATGGAAAATTTATATGCTGCAGAGAATGTGCCTAGCACACAGTGATGATGCTGGCCACTGTCATCAGAAACCAGCTCATTATCAGAACCACTTCTGTCCTCACCCTACCCAGCCACATACACTTATTTCACATAGCAAGATATCAAAGATATGGTGAAACCCATGTGCAACTGTTCACTACAGATTAGTAAGCAAGCACAAGTAAGCCTGTCCTTACCTTGCTTATTAGGTAATCCACCTGAGTGAGAGAAGCACTGGTACCAGAGTATTTCCAAATTACCCATGAAGGAGTTACATGGTCCTCTCATTAAGAAATCCGTAACTGCTCAGCCTGCTCTGAAGGATATGGTGTATATTAATTATCCCACCTGCTAAAACCAAAATGAAACTCACTGCCACTGAGTCAATTCCAACTCATAGTGACCCTCATTTCATTTCCAAAGCTGTAAATATTTATGTATGTAGACTGCCTTATCTTCCTCCTGCAGAGCAGCTGGTGGGTTAGAACCACCAACCCTCTGGTTAGCAGCCAAATGACATACCACTACACCACCAGAGCGCCTGCTCTACCTGCTAAGTAGACCCTAAATTGCTCAAGTGATTTTGTTGTTGTTGTTGTTGTTATGTGCCATTGAGTCAGACCTGACTCATAATGACCCCTCCTTGGGTTTCTGAGGTGGTATCACTACAGAAGTAGGTTGCCCAACCTTCCTTCCAAGGAGTGGCTGGTGGGTTTGAACCACCAGCCTTCTGGTTAGCAGTCAAGTGCCTTAGGAACTACACTACCAGAGCTCCTGCCCAAGTGATTGGCTCTGCTGAATTACATGCCACCCCTAACTTCCACTGCCCTTTGTCCCCTTCCCCACACCTTAGTTTGCTATCTGTAATTCGGGAATTAAAAAAAATCAATTGTGACTATTTAATAAGTCTCCCTCCCTGAGATTTGTTTCCTTAAATATCAGTAGCAATTCCAGAATTTCAAAGGTTTCTTTCACAGAAGTCTTCTTAGACTGGGGGGCAAAGTGGGGAAGTGTATTAATTTCTAAGGGCTGCTGTAACAAAATGCCATTTAACACCAAAAAACCAAACTTACTACCATTGAGTCATTTCTAACTCATAGCAACCCCTCCTTGGGTTTCCGAGGTGGTATCTCTACGGAAGTTGATTGCCTAATCGTCCTCCCAAGGAGAGGCTGGTGGGTTTGAACTGCCAGCCTTCTGGTTAGCAGTCAAGTGCGTTAGGCTTATTAGAAGAGAAATTCATTGTCTTTAGAAACCAGAAGTCCAAATTAACAATGGTGGCCATGCCATGCTCCCTCTGAAGACTCTAGGGGATGATCCTTCCTTATCTCTTCCAGCTTCTGGTAGCTCCAGGTGTATTCCCTGTCTTGGAGAAACATCTTCACTGTCTCCTTCCTCTGGCTGTCTCTGTTTATCCTCTTCTTATAAGGCAAGATGCAGATTAGGACCCACCTAACTCCAGTATGGCCTCATGTTAACTGATAAAATCTTCAAAGACCCTATTTCCAAGCAAATTCACTTTCAGAGATACCAGAGGTTAGGACTTCAATGTATATTTTGGAGACACATACAATTCAACTCATAAGAGTGCATAAGGGATCTTTGTTCTTGTGAGACATGCTGCTAGGATAATATCAAGGATCAATTGCTCTTTGGCTCAGACAAGAAAAAGTTTAGGAGTAAGAAAGTGACTGGGACCAAGCAGATTCACAGGAAGGCTGGCCTTTCATCATTTAGGCCTATGAGAATTTAGTGTGGGAGGGAGGTAGTGGGAAAAACCTGGCTCTTAAGTTATTGGCCTTGCCAAATTTCTAAACTATTTTTTTAAAAACAACTCTTTAACTACCATTAAGAAATCAAAGGTATCATAATCAAGGGTAGATTGTTGGGCCTTTTGGGAATACTGTCAACAATATTGTTTAGCCTGGGTTAAATAATGGGGATACCACCATTATACCACTCTGACAAAAATATACCACAAATGGGATGGCCTTAACAAACAGGAGTTTACTCTTACAATTTGGAGGCTTTAAGTCCACGTTCAAAGTGCCAAGCTCTAGGGGCTGGGTGAAAGCTCCTCAACCTTGGGGTCCAGCTCTGCCTCCTGCTCCCAGCCCACTGGAGCTAGAGGCGTTTCTTCACCCAGATAGCTGCTGGCTGCTGGGGCTGAGAAGCCCCAAGGTTGACAA